CGGCCGCATCCTCACGGACTTTCCCACCGCGACCGCGATCTCGTCCCCGGCTCCGGGGCGCGCGCACCCACTCGCCCCAGGACCAGCGAGTCGTCGCTCTCCTTCAACCGGCTCCAGCGCTGCCTGGTCGACCGCTTCCTCGGGACCTACGTGACCGAGCGCTTTGGCGCGGTTGTCCGCGTGTTCGGCGGTACGTTGCCTTCCTCTGGCCCGGCGCCCCTCCCCCTGCCTTGGGGGTTTTCCCGCGCGCACCAGCCAGCCCGCTGTGTCTCTCCCCCTCCGATCAGCCAGCCCGCTGTGTCTCTCCCCCTCCGATCAGCCAGCCCGCTGTATCTCTCCCCCTCCGATGGCCCGCACCCCTGCTTACTCCCCCCCCCCCGCCCCGCACCCCTGCTCGCACCCTCGTCTTCATATGCTCCCTCTCTCTTCGCGCGCACTCGCACGCCCGGCTGCCAGCTGACACATCTTGACATCCGTCCGCCCCGGGCCCCGTAGCATGGTCGAGAACCCCAACAGCCAACACATCATTCGGTGGTCCAAGACCGGGACCTCCTTCCTGATTATCGACTGCAAGGAGCTCGAGGCCCATGTCCTGGCACAGTACTTCAACCACTCGAAGTTCTTCAGCTTCGTGCGCCAGCTCAACATGTATGGCTTCAACAAGGTCAACAACACCGACCTCGCGTCCACCGAGTCCGGCCCCTATCACCAGTCGTCCGGCCAGCAGCAGCAGCAGCAGCAGCAGCAGCAGCAACAACAACAACAATACCATGCCCAATTCCCGAACTTTCCCTCCCACCAGCCGGCGGAGGGCGGCGACGATGAGGACGCCAATGAGGCCGGCTTTGAGAGGCGCATGCTCGGCGCACAGGAGGACGCCAGCGATGATGAGCCCGCCCTCCTGCGCATGTGGGAGTTTGCCCACCCGCTTTTCCTCCGTGGCAAGCCGGAGTTCGTGCCGGAGATCAAACGCAAGGTACATGCCCTCTGGCGCTGGTGCGGCCCTGTGATGCCGCACAGCGCAAGCCCCTCCTCCCTTCCTGCCTGCGCCTCGCCTGCATTTTGTTCGGCTCGGCTCGGCCCGTCCAAGCTCACTCGCTCCTCCCCTTCGCGCCTTTTCTTCCCGGCCCCGGGCCTGTCGGGCAATTCAGAAATCCAACCCCCAGGGCGATAAGGGCAATCTCGACATGCATGGCGGCCACTTGCAGGGTGTCGGCCAGCGGCCTCTCCCCCCGGGGGTGCACCCGACTGGCAAGCTGTTGCATCCGGATGACCCCTATTCCGGGGGGATGCCTCATCTGGGCGGGATGCCTGGAGGACATGACGAGTCCATGCTGCGCGGCGGGCATGGCGGTCCCGGGCCATATGGCATGCATGGTGGCGGCGGCGGCGGCGGCGGCGGCGGCGGCGGCGGCATGGTCGGCGGCCCCGTCCCATCGGGCCCCGAGGAGTCGCTGCTTGATGACATGTCCTTCGGGATGCCGGTGGTTCAATCGACGGCCGGGCCTCAGACATCCCTCCCCCCGGCTGTGGGGGCGGATGTCCGGCGTACACGGCCCTCCTCTCGGTCGTCGCTTGCTGGGAATGTTCCCACGCCGGATCAGTCCCTCCCGCCGATGGTAGCCGGCGGCGGTAATGCCGGCCCCACTGCCGGGGGGAACTACCCCGGTGGTGGGCCTCATCAGCCGCCGGTGTACCTCCCCCAGTACTCGGCCGGCGTGCGCCCTGCCGAAGTGTCCCCCTTCCACCATCAACAATACCAGCCGCACCCGCAGCCGCAGCCGCACCCGCAGCCGCAACAATACCTGGCGCCGCACCATCGGCCATCGGTCCCCGGGCAGGTGCACCCCATGCACCCATCGGATTCCCATGGCCGGCCGCCGCACTTCCAGCCACACTATGCCCCCTCGCCGCCGGTGATCCACTCGTCCCCCTTCTCGGCCTTCCCGGCATCGGGCGGCGGCCAGCTGACCGAGCGCGAGGCCCTGCTGGCCGAGGACATTGGGCTCCTGTCGCAGCGCCTCTCCGACATCAGCTACCTTCTCTCGGCGATGATCTACCACATGAACGGTGTGTCACGCAGCCTGCATATTCGCACCTCGGGAGGGAGGTGGGACCGGGGCGGGGCAGGGAGGGGCTGTCTATCTCGCGCGCGCGTCTCTCTCTCTCTCTCTCTCTCGATGTCTCTCTCTGCTGTGTGTCTGTGTTCTCTTTTCCACTTCCCCCAACCCCATGCTCACCTCCGTGTCCCCTGTGCCATCTTGAAGTGCCCTTCATCAATGAGGACCCGCTTCTTTCGAAGGCCGCACGTGCTCTGGTCCAGCCGCTGCGCCTGCACTCGGCCGGCCTCCTGTCTCCCCGGGCCGGGGCGGCGCCGCCACACGGCCTGGACCCCCTGGCCAGCAGCCCCCACTTTGCTGTTGGTAGCAGCCTGCCCGGGGCAGGGCGCTCGAGTCACCCCCGGGAGGACTCCCAGTCGGCGGATGTCGGGGGTGCTGGCGGCAGTGGCGGCCCGGGCGAGGCCACCAAGCCCCCGCATGGCACCTTTGTCCCTGGGCACCGGCGTGCCGCCTCCGGGTCGCATTCCATGTCGCACCCGGCCCCGGTGACGGCCCTCCTGTCGGCCTCGTCGATGGCCACCGGCCCGGAGGGTCGTCGACGCCAAATGCCCTTCACACATTCGCGCTCGAAATCCTTCACACAGAGCCGGCCTGCGGCAAGCAGTGCCGGGTCCGGATCCGGCGGGCTGCTGTCCCCGGGAGCCCGTGGGGCCCCGGGCCCCGGTGGTCACCACCGCTTGACCCAACACTCGCGGTCACACTCGATTGATGTTGGGACGGATCCGTCGTTGATTGCGGCAGCCGCGGCGGCCGCGGCCGCCGGTGACCCGTCCGCTCGGGCACGCTTCGTCCAGCCGGACAGCCTGCATCATGATCCCGGGCGTGGCCGGGCCGGGTCCTTCGCGTCGACCCTCAGCACGGGAAGCAGCTTCAGCACTTTCGGTGAGGCCGGCCGCGCGAGTGTCACGGCTCCGGAGGAGGGCTCCGCGTACTCGGGCTCCGGTCCTTCTGGCCCGGGGGCGCCGCCTGCCGGTGTCAAGACTCCTCCCCGTGCTGGCTCGGGAGCACCCGGTGGCTCGTATGAGCAGCACCACACCAACCGGTCGTCGGGCCACCCGTCGCAGCATGGCGGCTATTCGACGGAGCCCGGCACCCAGTCCCCCTCGACCATGGTCTTCCATGATGAGCGGCCAGCTCCCCCGGGGATCGGGGATGACCTGGCCCATGGTGCTCCGCGCTCGCGCACCGGCTCGCATGCCTCCCTGACGCAGGCTCCCCCTTCGGCGCCCGGCGGACCGGGGGACTTTGCCGCCGACTCGCCGGGAGCCGCCCTTGCCACGGCATCGGGGAGCATCTCCTCCGGGGGCATGGCCTCCTCCTCGGAGCCTGACACCTTCCTGGTGCACGGCCAGCAGGCGGACCACCCGCCAGGCCAGCAGTACCTCACGTACTCGCAGCAGCAGCAGCAGCAGCAGCAGCAGCAGCAGCAGCAACAGCAACAGTATTACCCGTACTCGCAGCAGCAACAGCACTACTCGCAGCCAGCCCCCTACAACCAGGGCGTATACTTCGGCTCGGGGGAAGATCGTTCGGGCAGCGGCTACTCCCCGCGCCACCAGTCCTGGCAGGCGGTCCCCCTGTCGGAACTGTCGGCCTCCAATTCCATGAGCCTTTCGTCGGGGGTGGACGCCGGCGGCCCCTTTTCCATGACCGAACCGAAGCCCCATGACATGGGCGGGCCCTTCCGCCCGCATCAGCCGCACCTGGCCGGCCAGTACCCTCATCCGGCCTCGCATCACCACCACCCCTCGCATGGCGAGGCGTCACTCTTCCCCTCGGAGGATGCCCATGATGCCACCATGCATGAGCAGCCTCCCCGGCCGGCAGATCACCAGTCGCAGCCAGGGGCACCGTCACACCCTTTGCACGCGGTGGTGCCTCTATGACCGGGGGTGGGGCGGCGGCCGGGGCCCGGTGGCTCCCGTCGCACGACCTCCCCCCAGTGCATGGTGTCTCTCCCTTGCGGGGCTGGACCTTCTTTTGTTTCCCTCTTCTTGCTTCACCTCGAAGACATGGGGCACGGAGAGACATGTCCCGCCGCACAATACAATGGGCTCTGCATGGAGTGGTCGGGGAAGCGCCGACACGCATGTACACACACACACACACACACATGGCGACAGTTGTGGAAAAGGGCACGGAGGGGGAGGGGGGGACAGGTTCGAGAGAAGAGGGGGTGTTCATTGATCGGGCTTTTTGGCGTCGGGTGTCCGAAGATAGTCGCTGCAGGGGAGGGAGAGAGAGAGAGAGAGAGAGAGGGCGATGGAGATGGAGCATTGGAAGGTCTGAGGGTCAGCAGGAGGAGAGGGACAAGAGGTGGGAGGCGAAAGCAGGCGGCAGGGGCGCGCGCGTACCTGGCCTTGTCGTAGAGTTCCCCCAGGTCCAATGTGCCGCTGATGGATTTGAGCGAACCGAGCAGCTCCGAAAGTTGGGAGCAGTGCTCCTGCATGCCGAAGGCGAAGGGGGCGAAAGAGGGCAGGCAGGGGGGGGGGGGGGGGGGGGGGGGGGGGGGGGGGGGGGGGGGGGGGGGGGGGGGGGGGGGGGGGGGGGGGGGGGGGGGAAGGCGAAAGGGCGGATGGGGAAGGAGCACGGGGTGAATTTGGTGCGGACGACGTGGCAGAAAGCCCACCCGCGAGTGTGGAGGGGGCTGCAAGAGGCAAACATACCGCCCAGGCGGACTGGCTGACGTAATTCGTCTGTCGCAGGCGCTCCAGCTGGCTGATGCGCTGGGTGGCCATCTGCAGCGCACGGCGTGTCTCCAGTAACTCGGTGCGCAGACCGCCGGACTCCTGCTGGCAAGTGTGGTGCACATCGGCCTCGGGGGCGGCCGTGTTGCAGGCAATCCCGAGCCCGGCCGGCGACGGGGAGACATCCACCGGGGCCGGGACCGGCGGGCGTCCAAGCGAACAGGCCGCCGCGGCGAGGACCTGCTCCCGGAGGTGGCCGATCTCCCCGGCGCACCAGTCAAGTAGCAGGGCCATGTTCGAGCACCAGGTGCCCTGCCCGTCCGGAGATGATGTCTGCATCACGGCCTGCAGGTCAGACAACACCACCGGGCCAGCGTGCGACAGGAGCCGGGAAATCGAAATGCGCAGCTCCGGGCTGGCCGCGGACTGAGGAGGGAAAAAGGGGCCGCTCGCGAGGGGGGAAGCGCCATCGCAAGTGGATCGGGCCGCAAGCAAGTCGGCCGACAGGGGCCCGGTGTCGAGGAGATCATCGTGACGCCCATCATCCGGATGCAGCATGTGAGAATGGTGGGGCCCGTGGATGCTGCCAGGGCCGCTGCCATCACCACCACCACCACCACCGCCACCACCATCCTCCCCATCGGTGCCGGCGGGCCCCGTGGCCAGGAGCTGCTCCAGGTCCGAAAGCGACAACCGAGGGAGGGGCTGCGCGGCAAAGACATCCGGCGGGTCGTGGAGCATGGCCGTCGACAGCCGCAGGGGGCCGGCGCTGGACCGGCGATCTGGCCGGCTGGCGTCCGGCTCTCGCGAAGGCGACAGCGGCGGGAACATCGGCCGAAAAGGCACACTCCCCGGGCCGGCGCCGGTCCCGACAGGGGGTTGCACAGGCGAAGGAGCCCCCGGTGGCGGGGACCGGGCCACGGATGCGGGGGCCTTCACTGCCGCAGGGGGGGACCCCGGGCCGGCTGCGGCGACCGACAGCGAGGAGGACTCCGCCAGCGGGGGATGCTTGGCTGATGGCCCAAGCCCCGGTGCCCGGATGTCGGATCTCCGAGGGGGACGGGCGTGCATGCCGAAGGACTCTCGCACGCGGGCCTTGGCCGCTGGGGTGACAGATCGCCGGGATTCCGGCCTCGGCGAGGGCCTGGCGTCCGGCTGTGCGGCCGGCGAGAGGGACAGCCCCACAGCACCGCGGGCCCGGGGGACGGGAGACGACGCCAGCATCAGCGGGCCGCGATCCGGGGGGGGCACTTGCTGCGAGGCCCGGCGGTCGGCCGGCCCGGGGGTTGAGGAAGCCGGTGTCGGAGGGGCCGAGTTGCCTCCGCCGCGCGCGAGAGACTGCCGCATGCGGCGCATCCTCTCGCGGTGGAGCTGGCTCTCGCGCTGGCGGAAGGCCAGCGAGCCCGGGCGCAGGGGGTCCTCGGAGCTGCTGGTGCTGGAGGTCATTTGCCAGTGCCGGGGGAGGGGAGAGGAAGAGGGGGAGGGGAAGGCAGGGATGAGGGGGCGGAGGAGGGGCGAGACAGGCGGAGAGGCGGCCAGGCGGAGAGGCAGGAGCGGCGATGAAACAGTTAAAAATCGATCTGACCCGGGCCGCCTTCCAGGTGGGAGAAAAATACGCGATGTGGCATTTCTGGGCGGCAGTTTGAATTTGGCGGTCGTTACATCCGCCGGCAGGAGGACTGCCCACTTCGGGTTGGCGTGATCTGGCTTGGCCGCGTGCGTGGTGGCGCCCCTTTTCCCCGGGGGGAGCCTCGCGTTGGCGCCTCGGGGGAGCGGGGCCGGCTCCCCGATCGGCAACCGGCGGGGCCGGCCGGGGCCGGGAGACCGGTCCCCCTCCGGGCCTGGGAACCATCCCGGGTGTGGGCGCCAGCCCTTGGGGGGCGGGGTCGCGAGTGGTCGGTGGGCAGGGGGCGCGGCGCAGCGCGGCGCGGCGGGATCGCCCCGAACAGGGGGGAGGGGGTGTTTGCTTTTTGCTCGATGCCCAAGTATTTGAGGGCTCGTCGGTCTGAACGACGGACCCCCGGAGCCACGGCATCCGCCCTCCACGCCCCATCCTCGCGCCCCCGCCATCGTCCGTCTTCGCCCGCACTCCTTTGCCCTTTTTTTCTTCTTCTTCGCCTCCGGGAACCCCACACGCGTCACACAACCATGGGCAAGCGCCGCGCCTCGCGCTCCCCCTCCCCCTTTCTCAATGTGTCATCCGACGACGGGGAGGACAGCTTCTCCGAGGAGCTGTACTCGCCGGGGGAGGAGTCGGCCGACTCGTCGCAGGATTCCGACGAGGAGACCTTCAGCCCATCTCCTTCGCCAACTGCCGCGCCGAAGCGCGCTCCTCGGGCAGCAGCCAGCCGCGCGGCTGCTGCCGCCTCCTCCGGCAACGGTGCGCCCTCCCCCCTCTTTTCTTTTTCCGTGCCTCTGTCCCTCCTGTCGCCGTGCGGTCTCGGGTTCTGACCCCCCCCCCCCTCCTTCCCCTATCTCGCATGCAGACGAGCAGATTGTCCTTCAGTATTTCCAAAAGCAAAACCGCCCCTACAACCTGGGTACGTGTGCCATCTGCGCATTGGTGCCTGGGCTTCCGCCCATCCTCCCTCCGTCCACTGATCCCGAGTTGCCTGTGCCCCGCCCGATAGCCGACATCTTCAGCAACCTGCACGGCGCCATCAAGAAGGCCCCCCTGAAGAAGGTCCTCCAATCGCTGACGGACTCCGGGCACCTGACCATGAAGGTGTACGGCAAGCAGCAGGTATTTGTGGCCAACCAGGATCTCATCGATGTCCCGGACACGGAGCTCATCACGGCATCCGAGCAGGAAGTCGCCGAGTTGGAGCAGGCCCTGCAGCAGGAGCGCGCCGCTGTGCGCGAGTTGAATCAGAGTGCGTCCCGCCCCTCCTCCTCCCCCTCGGTCCCTCCCCCGGATCTTCTTCGTATGCGCATGCCGATCTTTGCAAGGGGCGGACGGGGGGGGAGAGAGTGTGTCCCTTGCCTCGCTGACGCCCGATGGAACACGCCCTGCAGCCCTGACGGCCACCGTGGCCACCCTGCCGAACGAGGAACTGAAGGCTCGCATTGAGGAACTCCGCGAGACCGTGCGTCGACCTTTGTCCCCCGATCTCCGCAGCCCATCCTTTTTTTTTTCCATCCCGCCCTCCCCTCCCCGGCCTCCCTCTGCGCCGTGCATACGCGCACATCCCCCTGACAGTGTCCCCCGATCACCGGCGCCGCGCTGGCTGTGTGCCACACAGAACAAGAAGCTCGAGACCAAGCTCGAGCGGCTACAGACCGAAGCCATCCAGCTGACGCCGGAGGAGATCGCCCAGGTAAACCAATCCCACCGGAAGTACCACCGCCTGTATCGCGACCGGAAGCGCCTTTGCATGGACATCCTGGATGGCATGCTGGAGCATGCGCCCATGTCCAAGGAGCAGCTTTTCGTGCGTGCTCTCCTGCTGTCCCCCGCTCCTCTCGCCCAAGCCCGCGGGTGGCATGCCCCCCCCCCCCCCCCGCCGTCCGCCCGGCCCTGGATCTGCCGTGAGACTGACACACGCAAGCGTTGGCATATGCCTCAGGAGGACATCGGCCTCGAGACCGATCAGGACGTGGGTTTCCACCCGACCCAGGCCCCTTCCTGACCGATGTCCCAATGAACTCCCCCAAATGCTGTTATGATCTGTATGTGTATTGCGGCGGTTCTGGTGTCGGATCGCCCCAGTCCGGGGTCTTTCCACGGGGGGTGGGCAGGGGGCGAGCCCACGCGTGCCCGGGGCCCAGTGCCCGGGGGGGAGGGCTCGGGCGTCCGCCCCGGCCGCGTTTCCCCGTGTGGGGCCGATTTGCGAGCTCCCACTTGTGTCCGCCTGAGAAGGGGGGGGGGGGGAGAACATCCACGCGCCCCTTGCACACACTTGCATCCCCATCCGCACACACGCGCACGCGCGCACGCATGTGCGATCCTCAGGGCCCATTTTCCACCCGGGACTGGGGGCAACTTTTCGGCTCGGCCGCCGAGAGCACCGTCCTCCCAAGACAGCGCACTGCCCTCCCCTCCCCCCCCCCTCCTTTCCTCCTGCTCCCTCCCCGGCACCCGACCCCCTATTTCCTCTCCTCCTCCCCCCCGCCTCCCAGCTGAGCCCCATCTTTGACCATGTCCCGTCCGGAGTTCATCGCCCCGCCGGAAGTGGTGCGTCGCCCTCCGAAGAGGCACACGCGCTGGGCCCTCCGTGCCCCTCCCCTGCCCTTTCATCGCTGACCTCGTGCCGCTCGCCGACCCACCCCTGCCTGGTAGTTTTACAACAATGTCGAGGCGCGGAAATACACCTTCAAGTACGTGGTCCCCTCGCCCACCCGGTCGGTGTCTGGCCCCTGTGCTGCCATTTTTCGGCCACTGACCCCTGCCCCGCTTGCAATTGCCCGACCACAGCTCGCGAATGCTCAACATCCAAACGGAGATGACCGAGCGCGCGCTGGAGCTGCTCAACCTCCCGGAGGACCAGGTGAGCCTGATCCTGGACGTTGGCTGCGGGTCTGGCCTGAGTGGCGAGACCGTCGCCGACGCCGGGCACATTTGGGTGGGCTTCGATATCAGCAAGGACATGCTTGGTGCGTAGATCTCTCTCTCTCTCCCCGTCTCGCCCGGGCCCTCTCACTCTCGCCCCGATGGGTGGGGCGCGGGGTGGTGCGGTCGTTTCTGACAACCCGGACCACTGCCTTTCCGCATCCAGAGGTCGCGCAGGATCGCGACACCGACGGCGATCTGGCCCTCGCCGACGCCGGCCAGGGTGCCTTCTATCGCCCAGGTGTCTTTGATGGTGTCATCAGGTGTGTCCTCATGTGGGGATCTCCTCCTGGGGGGAGGGGGGGACCCGACCTGCCTGCTGCCGCCCCTCCATGCGCTTGCCTGGCCCACTGACTGCGATCCGTTGTGCCCCTGCCCCGTCAGTATCTCTGCCATTCAGTGGCTGTGCAATGCCGACAAGAAGCACCACCGCCCGGAGCGGAGAATGCAGCGTGTACGTTCCTCCCCGCGGCCGCCCCCCATGCCCGCCGTGCGCCGGCAGCCACGCCATCTAACGCGCCCGCCCTGGGGACATGGCAGTTTTTCACCACCCTCTACACCTCGCTGAAGCGCGGTGCTCGGGCGGTTCTGCAGTTCTACCCGTCGGACGCGACGCAGGTGGAGCGCCTGACGGCGGCCGCCATGAAGGCCGGCTTCACTGGCGGTGTGGTTGTTGACTACCCGAACTCCAGCAAGCGCAAGAAGTTCTACATGTGCCTGTTCGCCGGCACGGCCGACGCACAGGTGCCGGCCGGCCTGCGGGACGACGGCACCCCCCAGACGGTGGATGCTGGAGACATCACTTTTCGCCGGTTCGTTGAGACTCCCCCCCCCCCCTGTGCTGCCCGATGAATGACAGGTATGCCCCCATGCCCGGCTGCCGATGCTGACCCGCCTCTTTCGCGCCCGCCCCGCCCCCCCTCGCCTGTCTGCCCTCGCTCCATTCGCGAAGTGGCGCGCACCGTCGCATCCGGAGCTCCGACCGTCCGACCAAGGGGTCGCGCGAGTGGATCATGGCCAAGAAGGAGCTGTACCGCCGCCGTGGTGTGGAGGTGGTCAATGACAGTAAGTACTCTGGCCGTCGTCGGCGGCGCCTCTGAGCAGCCCCTGGCCGGGGAGGGGGCGGCGAGCAGGGGAATGCATCATGTGCTCCCTTCTCTCTCTCTCCCCCCCCCCCTCTCTCCTCTGCGCTCATCTTGTTGCTCCGGCTGTTTTCCGGGGCTCCCTGTGTCCGGCGGGAGCGGAGGGCAAGCGGCCTGTCTGCGCCATCCCGACATCCATCTGCGCGAGCTTGCACGCCTGATCAAGAAAATAAAACCCACATATAGAATACGCGCGCCAGCCGTGCTCTTGCCGATGTGCCAGCACGGCGCGCGGGGCGGGCGCCCCCCGCTCCTGTGGGGGCGGGAGACACCCGGAGATGGCGATGCCAACTAAAGCAGGGACCGGTGGGGGGGACGTGCGAATGGCGC